ATGATGATTTTCCTAAAATTGAATTGTTAGATTCCGCGCCTTTTCCGAAAGGACAACGCTTCTTTCCTACTGACTAGTGCCTTTTCGTGCTTCACCTTTACTTGTGCCAGTAAACGCTCCACTCCGAAGGTCCGTTCCTTCTTCTCGCTGTGCTAGCACTGTTTGTGCCCGCGTCACAGCTGGGGATTTGTGCGCTCACCCTTAAGTTACGCATAGTCGTTGATTATCCCGTTCAGATACATAACAGTATCCCACTGAAATTTCGCCAACTGCCTATACCTTAGAAGGGGGCGAGATGGCCCAAGTTGTTAGAACGCGAGTTTACTGACCGGAAGGTCCTTGGTTCGAATCCGACCTCCGCCACTCGACTTCCCCTGTCTAGGCTTGGGCAACCTGGCAGTATCCCAGCCCTCGTGCTTCCTTCGGATGACATGGCAGCTAGGCACCGGAAGGGTGCTACAGCTGAACGATATACCTTAGAAGATATCAGTCATTCATCAGCTTCACATAACATTTTCCACCTTCAGCGGACATGAAATTATACGTCTTGTTGTTTGTTTAGCCTTTACCCCACAAAACTCCCACCTTCATCACAGTCCTTGACAGCAAGACAACAGCAATACATACTGCCGCTCGACTCTCGCCTTCTACTTAAGCAGAGTTTTACCTGCCCAACAATCAGTCCAGTGAAACACTTTGAATGACTCAGTCCTTGTACTGGTGGATGAATTCGTATCACACAACATCCCTTCACTTCATAAGACTCCGGCCCGGTCGTAGGCGATCAACCCAGGATTCCATATCTGCCAACAAACGAGTTGGATCAAGTACCATCCCTCCCAAACGAGGTAGCATTGACTACGCCATCCTACTCTAAGATCTCCAGAAACATTTCCGAATCATTAGAAATGAGCTGCACCAGTGTTTTGGCAGATAGCTACTTCTGTAGCTCGCTCGCAGAACCGAAAAACCACGATGGATCACGACTAATGCGCATCTCGGTACAACCATATGCGCTGACCAGAATATCCTCACGACTAGACTTGCCACAGATCTAAGAACCCCTGGTTTTAAGAGTAACACTTGGCTTACGAGGTACCGAGCAGTTTTTATGCTGGTTTACCTCTTCAGAACGCCACGGAACAACGCATCTACTCAGACATCCTCTGGATAGGACAAAAGGCCACTTAAAAGTAAATTCAACCGAGGCTGAATCCAACAGAAACCGGAAAACTTTTCGTCCACAGCGGTCAACTACCAACACGACTGAAAATGGTGGAAATTCATCCAAAAACCCGAACAAATCGGATTTCTTTTGACAACTCAGGTAGCCATACTACACCATCAGCCAATCATCGAGTCACCTACCCATTCATAACTGAGGTTGGCGTCATGTCTTCTGACATAGTAGCAGATTACTTGGGGTCTTGGTATACCCACCGAAGGCCCACGCCTTGACACCTTGTTCGGGGATCAGTACCATATCCACGGACTTATTGGATGACATTCAGAAGCCCGGAACAATCCCTCAGAACAAGACCCACCAGCAGCCGACGATAGGCAAATAATAGTAATAATACTAAACTTTCGGCGACTAGCTGCTACAGCAAACGAAGGAAGTGCGAGACCTGAGACACTGTCAGGTTGCCGAAGCCTGGACAGGAGCAGTCGAGATGCCGAGGGAGGCATTGAACCATGGACCTTCCGGTAAGTTCACGCCTTAAATTGAGTTGTCTCAATGTACGAAGGCCAGCCGCCCCTAATAACCGAACATCACATCATTTGGACGGATGTGTCACGTACAGGACACGGACCTAACGAAGCCATGCCCTGATTAGTCAGAATGCCAGCCAATTCGAGTCGAGCATCTTTGACTCGACGCTTCTCGCCACCTCGCGGGGATTCTGGCACTCTGTGACTAACCTATAAATACAGTTATAATGACTTTTCTTTGTTCCCATAAAGGGCTGTGTAGAGCTACTGTGCCTTTTGTGGGCGGAGCAGGAAACCAAGGGAACGAGTTGCACGATCGTTAACAAGACAAAACACTCAAGCACATGAGCTATCCCGAACTCACGTTCAGTTAATGATTTCCACGGAATTATTTCAGTGGCTCTCGCTACTTCGCCTAAGCAA